CCCCAAAACCCCAAAACCCCAAAACCCCAAAACCCCAAAACCCCTCGGGGAGCTAGAATAGTTGAAACTTTCATCAGGAGCATATATAACAGTCTGGTTCATATACTTATTCATCTTTTGAGACATAAACCTAATATGCCTCGACCTACTCCCTCTGCTCCTGTTATTTCTGTGCTTCTTTTGCAGAGGCTTATGGAAGTCATAATTAGTAAATGATAAATACGGACTTGACTAGAGCTTTATAAAAATTATCGTACTTTTGGAAGCTTGTTAATATCCTGCACAGTCACTGTCTCGTTCTTGCTTAAGGTTTCCTCACTCATTATTCTTCCTTGGTAGTTATTGTTTCCACTATTTGAAGGGAACCGAGGGCTGTTCCTTCCACTGTCTTTAGAGTATCCTTTGTTAAGTCTGAAATGATCTGGCAAGGAACCCCTCACATCAAGTTGATCTCTCAGCAGATAATCCAAGTCCTTGATGAACATATGGCCGTCTTTAATTCTAAGTATCTTAACTACCTTGGCTAGTGACTTGTTATAAATCTGGAGTAACTTCTTAACCTTCTTCTTAAACACAGATATAAGATAATGTTCCTTAGTTTTACAGCAGATAGCCATAAAGAAGTACTTCGTTGGGCTAGTGCATACTGTCAAGAAACAGTCTTTTCCAGATATCTTGATGAATTTCTCTAGTCTGACCCTTTCCTTCTTTACTCGATCAAATTCTGAGTTAAAGACGTTGGTCAAGAGATATTCTCTATAAAAGATTCTTTTCTTATGCATTGATCTGAGGAGTAAAGCCTTCCTGTCCTTAGATTTCTTAGAATGATATCTCTTACTGGGCGAAACCTATGGTTATAAGTAACAAAGAAGCTGTACATTAGTTGGATCATTTGTACCTTCCAAGTTTTCACCCTCATTTTCATCCTTTTTTGGGCTAACATCATCTAAAGGTTTGTCAAATTGCTCTTCTCTCATTTTATTCTCTTCCTCCATTGTCATCTTGATATTAGATGCTACTTCTTGACTCTGGTGCATTGGCTTGAACTCTAAACATACCTCAAAAGGGGATTACCTGAGTTAGTATGGGAAAGATACCTCTTCTTGGTTTTCTTCTTCATCTTCTGGATGCTCAACTTCCTTCTAATATTCAACTTGGACTGAGTCCTTTTGTGAGAGCTCTTGTCAAACTGATACGGAAAATTTCATATCCTGTTTAACAGTCTTTTCTTTTTCTTATTTTCCATCTCATATTCGTTGTAGTTATAAGTCGGGTTTGAGTTTTGAAGTCGCTTCAGCAAGCGCTAGAAGGTTTAGCTCAAGTAGAGTACAATATTCTCAATTTTGAGCTGCTTCTGCTCTTCATAGCGACGATAGTTTCTGACCATGCCCTTAGACATTGATTTATTTACTCTTAAGAGCTCTTTCTTTACTTTTCCTAGAGGTTTATATGGAATAGTACATAGCTAGGTTTCGACTGACTTTGGAAAGTTGGATCTCTTGATCATCTTTATATGCCTCATTTATACTTTAGAAATGTTAGTTTAGAGTTTTAAGAGAATTAGGTCTTACTCTGGAATGTGATTGGTGTTATTTAGCTCATTTGGAGTTTCCTTTTATTTTAGAGAAATATAATTTACCTGGGCTGATTTTGAAATCAGATTATCTTCTTCATGATTCGTTTCTAACTAAACCATACTCACAATTGCTTTCACTCTACTTAACCAATCCCTCTCAAACACTTAGCACTTCTCTAAACACCCCTTAGCTAACTCCTAACTCTATTTTGATCCTCTCCCTTACCTGAGGAGTTCTCATTGTAATCTTCCTCTTCTTTCGGCTCTTTTCATATAAATTCCACTTCTTGAGCAGGCCCTTATCACCTATTTTTGGTAGACTCTAAATCAGCAATGTTAATTCCTTCACCACATTGGGCTTACTTCCATTTCTTTGCTTGAAGAGTAAGAATATTTTCAAAAATTATATATACAAATGGGGTTTTGGGGTTTTGGGGTTTTGGGG